TACCCCTCCACTTACACCCCCCACCAATTTGCACCCTCCTGCAATTTGCCCCTCAACTTGCACCTCCCCTCGGATTTGCACCCCTCTTGTTGCCAAACATAGTGTTAGAGAGTTGAGCCGCACTATGCAGCAGCAACTTTGGATGGCCTTTGACTTTGTGCTTGCAAACCCATATGCATTCTCTTGCACTTGTGTATAGCTCAGCCCGTTGGCCACATCATTATATCCATTGTTGTTAGTTTTCTCGTTAGCTAGAATTCTGATCAAATAGAATTCGAAATTAGGAAATATCGAGTGCTCGCATAACAATAATAGATTGAATGTTCTTTGATATAATTGTTTGTCACACTAAAATTGTCTGTAAGAAGTATGGTTGGTAATTCGGTCATGATTTTTCAGTTAAATCATAAATGGGACTGTTTAAACCAGTCTGGTTGCACCCGAAAAACCGGATTGTGTTTATCCAATCCAATTGCCAGCCTGATCCAGTCCACTTAAAATCGGGAGAGCTAGATAATTTGGATAAACAATACGTTATTAATAAAAGTATTCCACAATGTAACCCAACTACTACCTGCTAAAATTCAACCCTACTATAATTTGTTAAAATTCAAGTGAATACTACTCGAGTCCCAACCATAAAAAAGAAGAGCAACAAAAGTATAGGTACAATCCTCCAATGAGGAAGGAGCCACCAGGGCAGACTTGTCATTGCCTGACTAAATGGTGTTGTTGCTTTTACTTACTGCGAATCTGGAAGGAAGAAGGGGAAGTGTTCAAGTCTTGGTTTGGGTTTCTTTCAGGAGTTGATAATGGGGGAAAAATTGGTGATGTCTCAAAGAAAGCTTGAGAAGATATTTGCACAGTGGCTAGTGTTCATAGCAGCTATAAATGATGGAGAGTGGTGGAGTTCTGACTCGCCATGGATACATCGCGAAAGAAATCCCGATTAGAGCCCAAGTATAAACTCTAGTCGGGTGCAGTATAGGGCAAGTATGTTTTAATTGTCAAACCTAGGTGATGTCTCAAAGAAAGCTTGAGAAGATATTTGCACAGTGGCTAGTGTTCATAGCAGCTATAAATGATGGAGAGTGGTGGAGTTCTGACTCGCCATGGATACATCGCGAAAGAAATCCCGATTAGAGCCCAAGTATAAACTCTAGTCGGGTGCAGTATAGGGCAAGTATGTTTTAATTGTCAAACCTAGATTGGTCCATGTACCCCTACTTCAATCGCTTAAATTATTATCTAACAAACGATTTTGGGTTTAAAACTACGAAAACTACAAAATAAACAAACAAGTAAAGTAAATCGAGGTTGTCCCAATGAGATAAGAATTCACCCAGGTATTGCTCCCCCAAGCTACATATCAAGATTGACCAAATCGAATGCAAATGTGTGGAGGTGTGTTCATAAACCATAGGAGGGCGCAACAAGTGAAGGAAACATCACTCTCTTAATCAATCGGTTAAGGAAAACAATTAAGCTAGGAACCTTAGCTCTATCAACAAATGGATTAAGGATTGCTACAATAAACTAGGGAGTCTAACTCTCTTAAACTTTCGCCTAAGGATTGCAACAATAAGCTAGGAGTCCTAGCTCTCTTAACCGATAAAACTAAGAGTTGCAAGAACCAATCCATTGGAACTTAATCTGGACGGCAAAGTAACACCCAAGTTAAAGTGCTAAATCGAAGTTTGAGGTTTGCCTAATTTGCCCTAGGTAGGTGACTCAATTGGCCAAGGAATCCAGCTTATCAAAGCCTCCTAACAAAAAAGGGGAATTCCCTCTACCCAGGTCAAATTAGCATAATTATGAGAAATGAAGAACACAACCCAAACATCATGAAAATTCCTCAAACTTTGCATTAAACACCAACCCACACACATAACATTCAATACATACAATCTATCACCTATGTCAAGCTAGGGTTCACAACACCCAGGTGAAGAGGTAGACTAATCCATAGCTAGGCAAGGGAAAACAACAAAAATGAGATAAAAAAACATGAAGAGATGACTATCTTCCAACCTTGTTGCTTGAATCTCCCTTGAGAAGTAAGAATCTTCACTCCTCTAGTTTAAAGAAAGCCCAATCTCCTTCTTCCTCCTTTGAATGGCACTTTCTCTCTCTAGCTTTGAAGGAGAAACCCTAATCTCTCACTAGAAACCCTCTTTTATTCTGCAAATTAAAAACCTACTAAAAAGCTCTCTTTCTCTCTCCCAGTAGCCTTCTATTTATACAGCCTGATAGTCACTTTTCACGGTCACTGTTCACGGTCGGGACATCGGCCCGAAACGCACCATTTTTGGTCCAACTTCACGGTCTGGGGTGAGTTTTTACGGTCCAGCGACCATGATCCAGTTGAGGTCTGCTGAGGTGCACAAAACTCTCTGGAATCATCGCACTTCACGCCCACGAGTTTGGACTTCTCTTCACTTTTTCGTGCTTTTCAACCTCCAATTGACCCGAAACTCGTCCTCGACCTTCCAACACGTGCTAGGACCTTAAATGTTTCAAAATAAGCGCAACCTAGGTCGAGGGACGATGAAATTCCAAGTCAAATGGACAAGAGATGCGGGGTGAAATGTGTACAATTGGACTCGAATCAAGTTCTATAGGGAAAACTCAGCCGCACTTTTCAAAAGCAATTCATGTCATAACTTGAGCGTCGGAGAGTGTCCGCGCCGAGATTGGTCGGCGGACCCTTTTTGCAGGAGACAACCAGAGCTGATATCACGGGAGAAGTTCATGGTGAAAGGTGGTCATCGACCGACTCTGGTGCCCAACATAAGAAAACTCGACGTCGGCTACAACCCCGACATCAACATCATGTAACACCATATAAGTGTCAGATCCACCATTTTGCCTTCAACCGAATAAACATTGTGCTATGAAACAAAGGCAATTCATATATGGACTTGTGTGGAATACACCTTTGATCAGCAAGTACAGAATAGTACTGGAAATGACGTCATTCTACGAGTATAAACTCAAGTCTTGAAGCTCAACCATAGTAACTATGGGACTTTCAGCCCGTGTGGGCTTCTCAATCAAAACAGGTGGGTTACTTTCAGGAATCCTGATTTAGAAAAGGAACGAATGAATTTTTAGAACTAAATTCCACTATTCAGCTTCTAGCATCCAAATAAAAGGGCAATGTCTATTTTTTACCCAAACCTTTTCAAAATTCTTTTATTTTATCCAAACCTATTGAATTCCTAATAATTATCCAAACGTTAACTCTCCGTCAACTTTTCTGTTATTAATGTTGACTAAGCATGACCATGATGAGTTGGCTTCCCACGTGGCCGTCAGAATACTATAATTTACTATTTTTAATAAAAAAAACAAAAAAATTACAAAAAACAAAAAACAAAAACATTTAAAAATGCCTTCCCCTCCCCCCCGCCACCTCTCCCCTGCCGCAGCTGCTGCTTCCCCAATCTTCAAAAAATCACAAAACTGGAAACAAACCCATGTTCTGGTACTACAGAGGGAAGCAGGGGAGAAAGAGAAAATTAGCATAAACCCTAATTTCAACCTACACAACTACAGCCGCCACCGCCGACGACGGAGCGTGTCGGCCTCCTCCTCAACGGCGCTTCTCCAAATCCGGTGAAACATCTCCACCGAGCACGACTCGATCTCGATCGATTTGGCCGCCGTCGTCGTTGCTAGGGCATATGGGGAAACCCCTCGTCGCCGTTGTTGGAATCGGAAGCCCAATCAGAGAAGCTGCCTGCTCCTCTTCATCTTCCTCCAATCCTCCTGCACCAGCACCAACGTCAGCGTCAGTCCAAGCAATCCTCACGATCTCTGCTCCCTTCCGGCTCCTGACCCATCATCAAACTCGATTCCCCAAAACCCATCTTTTGATTTTTTGTTCTTCCGATTCATAGATCTAGATTTCCAGTTTCGATGTCGGGCGATGAGATTACTGTCATGGTAAAGAGAAGATAGTGATGACCCCTATCATGTGAGCTCTAGCATTTAGAGATTACTGTCATGGTAAAGAGAAGATAGGGCTGAGTGTTGAGTATGCACATCTTTTGCATCAAAATGGTCTTGACCCCACTGGTCGAGAGTGAGTGATTCGTTCATCTTATCTTGTTCATATCATACCCTGGTGAGGACCTATTTTGCTCATTCATTTGTTCCTATGACGTGATCTTTATGTATGGATAATTGTGGTTGGTGAGTCGTCATTGCGGGATATGTTTTGATTTGTGAACGGGGTGAGAACTTTTCGTTTGCACGTTCTTAATGCATTCAAATGTCATTTGTGGTGGTTGTCATGATCGCTAGTTGTTGTCCATATGTCGGTACCATATCCATCCACTTTTTTCCCTCTGACATATCCCCAAGTTATGATATTTAGGTTGAAATATTATCTTGTTTGAGATTGGTTTGTTTGATGACAATCAAACATCCAAGTATAAGAGAGTTTGATTCACGATACTACCAGTTAAAACTAAATCAAAATATCTAAATACTACCGATTAAGATGGTTACCACGATAACCACTCCGTTCCAACACCCCGGTTGAAACCCATTTTCTTTCAACTTTCCCCGTGTTCTCATGCTTTGCAGAAAAAATCGAAAAATGCACCACAACCACAAACGGTATTTGCTGGAGCAAGCAGGGGCCAGAAAGGCAACTTTTTACTCTTCATAACTTTTGGGGTTTGACTTTGGATTGAAAAGTTCATTCACTTTTCTTTTGCGTCTTTCTTGACACTCTCCCAAGCGCCCCACTAAAAGAAATAACTGGACGTCAAGCTGTAAAACATCCCAACGGAACGAACGAATGAATTCCAGAGGAGAGAGAGAGAGAGAGGGGGAGGGTAAATCCTGTCCGCCTCCGCCTGACAACTGACAAGTGACAACTCACCACCCCGCCAGTGGCATTCTCGTGAATAATCCTCATCCCCATTCCTTGTTTCTTCTTCATCTACCCGCCCGATTCCACTCACTCATGACTCGCCCATTGCCATACATATTGATATTGGTACAACCATCTTCTCTCCTAATAAACTCTTCCAACTCCTCTGTTTCTAATCTATTCTTTTCCTCCTTCGCGGGCTAAACGCTACTGAAAATTAATAATAAGGTCAATTAAAATACAAACACCATTTCTTCGTTTCCCTTTTATCCTCCGCTCCCTCTCTCTCCCACCCACTCTCTTGCTTCCCCGCAACCGAATTTCCTGTCTTCTCCGTTGGAGCTAGTCCAGGCCTCATACCATACCACCGTCTTCTTATTGTTGAAATTTAAAAAACTCGAGTTTTGAGCGAATTCAGAGTCGGGTAAGCGGGATGCTGTGTGGTGGATGGGTTCTTGGTTTGTCCAAGTTTCAGATGTATTGGGCTCAGTTGAGAACCTGAGGAATGGGTTGTTTCGTCAGCAAGAAGACCACCGCCGAGAAAGAGACTGACGGCGGCCGGACTTGCGTCGGGCCTTCCGCCGACGCAGCTAACCATGCCGTCAGGGTTGGTAAGGAGTCGGTCGTGGCGGCGGCGACGCACAAGTCCCGGCGTCACTCGGCTGATGTCTATGCGGAGATGGCCCGGCAGTCCCGGGTCGACCGGGGGATTGCGACCCAGCAAGGTCGGTGGCCGTCGTGGCTAATGGCGGTGGCCGGTGAAGCCATCGGTGACTGGACTCCTCGCCGGGCCAACACTTTCGAGAAGCTCGATAAGGTACGGGGAAAAACATAAGCCAGCTGGGGCAAATTTTGGAAAGTAATTTGGGAGAAAGAAAAGAAAGGGGGGAATTCGAGAGAAAGGCATCTGCTTTTCCTATCTTGCCGGTTCCTTCTTTTTATTACTCCTGCGCACCATTTGAGATAGGGTTAATCTTGTTTGTCTTCTTGGTAATTCCTATTTTGATCGCGTTGGTATTTCTTGGAAAATCTTTTGGTTGGATTAGATTGGGCAAGGGACTTACAGCAATGTGTACAAAGCGAGGGATCTATTGACAGGAAAGATAGTGGCATTGAAGAAAGTGCGGTTTGATAACTTGGAGCCCGAGAGTGTGAAATTTATGGCGAGAGAGATTCTTGTTCTCAGGAGATTGGATCATCCGAATGTGCTTAAGCTTGAAGGTTTGGTTACCTCGAGAATGTCATGTAGCTTGTACTTGGTCTTCGAATACATGGACCATGACTTAGCTGGCCTTGCAGCTCGCCAGGGAGTCAAGTTCAGTGAGCCACAGGTATTCAAATCTCTTCTCTTTCTGTCTATATTTGTTCCCTTATTTGCTGTGATGTTGATGGGTGTTCATTTGCCATGTTTCTTTCGACAGATAAAATGCTATATGAAGCAGTTGCTATCAGGGATTGAACACTGTCACAGACACGGTGTACTACATCGTGACATCAAGGGGTCTAATCTCCTGATTAACAATGAGGGTATACTCAAAATTGCTGATTTTGGACTAGCTACATTCTATGATCCTGGAAGCAAGATTCCCATGACTAGTCGAGTTGTTACCCTCTGGTATCGACCTCCGGAGCTTCTTCTAGGAGCAACTTATTATGGTGTCGGTGTTGACCTTTGGAGTGCCGGCTGCATTTTGGCCGAGCTGCTTGCTGGGAAGCCCATCATGCCAGGACGAACTGAGGTATAGTTTTCGGATCACATTAGTCTCTACGTGGGTAAATGCCTCTTATCCACAACAGTCTACTGAAAAGTTATTGCAATCTTCATGCACGGATGATCTGTTAGCATAATCTTTGAACTGGATAAATAATTATATATTCGTGGCTTGATGACCAGATTTATAATGTGGGCATAAGCTGGAAATGCAATCAGTGTTCTGGAATAATATCTGTTTGTTTTAGTTTGGATGCAGGTTAAAGTGGGAGCAAAACCAACTTACATCCAAAATAACATGATCCGTCTTTAGTGTGCCAATTTAGCATGGTTTATCTTTATTCATATTGTAATAGATTCAACTTCTGGTGTGCTTGTGCTATGGTAGTTGGAAAATTGACATTCATTCTTTTGGCACGCGCAGGTCGAACAACTGCATAAGATATTCAAGTTATGTGGCTCGCCATCTGAGGAATATTGGAAGAAGGCAAAATTACCTAATGCCACACTTTTTAAGCCTCAACAGCCTTACAAATGCTGCATAGTAGAGACTTTCAAGGGTTTCCCACCTTCATCCATGCCTTTGATTCAGACTTTGCTGTCAATAGACCCTGATGAACGAGGCACTGCTACTTCTGCTCTCAATAGTGAAGTGAGTGTCATATGCCAACTCGATATTCGGATACCAAGTGAAAGTGACTGTTTTCAAGTAATATTGATGAGTCAGTAATGCGAAGTTGTAGATGTCTAAGTTGATACCCTCTCATGCCAGTTTTATTGCTTAGTATAAATGCGTTCTTTTGTTATACAAAATTATATGGGGCATGGTATATGAAGTGTAACATGAAATGATTCCTCTGAGTGCAGTTTTTTAGCATAGAACCTGTTGCTTGCGAGCCGTCTAGTTTGCCCGTGTATCCTCCTAGCAAGGAACTGGATGTGAAATTGAGAGATGAAGAAGCAAGAAGGTTAGCTAGCAGCAGACTGTAAATCCTTTCCATTATCATTGTGGTACTTTTGTTTGCTGCATATGCTGATGATGATGCTTGGCTGCTTAGGCAAAGGGGTCTTGGTGGAAAAGCTAATGGTGCAGATGGTGCCAGAAAAATTCGAAATCGGCCTGGTCGTGCTGTCCCCGCCCCAGAGGCCAATGCAGAGATTCCAGCAAACGTAGATGTATGTAAAAAGAGTTTCCCCTCCCCTCAGCTGGTTCGTCTCAGTTTCCTATCTTCCAATTCTGACCTGTGGTATGTGAGATAAATTGCAGAGATGGAGGGTTGTGACGCAAGCAAACGCCAAGAGCAAAAGCGAAAAGTTCCCACCTCCACACCAGGATGGAGAAGTTGGAGGACGCCATATGATGGATGATGGGTCCCGAAAGGCCCCTGTTGGAATGCCTGAAACATCTTTTAGCTCATCGGTCTTCACTTCGAACGCATCATCAACGTCTACTAAAAGTTTTGGGAGCTCAGGAGGTCCTTCAAGGAGAAGAAACAGCAAGGATGGTGGTGCCCAGATAGGTCCATCGAGGAAGTTCATTCGTCCGTTTAATGGTTCGACGCTAGGGCTATCAATTGATTTGTTGTTCAAAGGAAAGTCGGAGAATTTTGGAAGCCGTAGGTAGGTATATAGATAAACTGGGTCTTCTTTTTTCTTCTTGGCTTTTGCAGTTCTCCCTTCTCATGGTCATGGGGGGATTCCTTAGGGTTAAATTTACATCTATCGGCTTGTCTCTGTTAATTTGTTCAATTTGGTTTGTACCCCTATCTGATAAGTATGCTGGTGTTGAAGGTCCATGATGAAGAATGTACAAGCACCGGTTGCGTTTGTGTATAAATTGTAACTCTGCGCACTGCTAGTTTCAAGTTGTTATTTCTGACAAACCAAACACGATGTCTCAATTATTACAAGCTCAAGATGTTGCTTCCCTATTTGAACTAGAGTTGACAATCAAACCCGCAATTGTGGGTATCTGATTGCTTCTGATCGATTTAATACAGGAAATTCTCGTGTTGATTGGGTATATTCTCGTGTTGATTGGGTATATGACGGATCTTTGTAAAACATACAAAACATTTTATAGGGACGAGAGACGTGTTTGATTTTCTCCTTTTCAGCTTCATACACATACTTGCTTCATCAAGATTATTTCATCATATACTAAATATGTAAAGATAATATTGTAACCTCTCAATACGAAAAAGGTAGTTCAAAATAATAACGAGTTTAAATGTAATTGAGTGGTCATCCAAAATTAAGCCACTAATTTATTCCTATCAATTTGCATGCACTCTTTTACTTCTTTTCCTCTTATTAACAAGATTGCGTTAGCTATTTATTGCTTATTAGATATGTCGAAGTCAAAGGTGAATAATTTAGATAGTACTGTGATTTGTCTTTATGAATTAGTGTACATTTTAGGATTGGATGCTTATATTTTAGGATAGAATGCTTTGAATAAATATTGAGATTAGTTCTACCGTTAGTGTTGTAATTGAAAAACTGTATGTTGAATTCTAGGTATATTAATATTGGATATACGAGACATATTCTTACAAGTACCCGAAAACCGCAATATAGGGATGAGGTTGCAAAATCTCCCGCATAATTATGGAGTGGGTATTAGTTTGAGCACTTGAAAATGAGAAGGATTTTGATAATTATGGAGTGGATCTGCTACGCCAGTAGTCGTCCAGCCAGTCTACAACTCTACATGGCGATTGCCGCCCAACAAACTTTGGCCCATGCAGACTGGGAAACAAATAACATTCATGTTCTCAACCAAAAAGACACAAGTAAAAAATTAGAGAGCGTATTCAATAATAACATAATAATGGATTCAGCAGCAGACTATGCTGTTGCGGCCAATGAGGATGATCGATAGCAAGTCCTCTTGGCAGCACGGACAATATCTTCAACCTGCAAAGTAGGGAGCGGGGTGTAATTCTAACTTGTACCATATGGTTGACACTTAACACACAAAAATAAAAGGAGTATCAAATCACAAACCTGTGGGACAGCCAATCTCTCTAGGTTTGCAGCGTATGGCATGGGAACATCAGCTCCGGCAATCCTCTCAATGGCCGCATCAAGATACTCAAAGCTATCCTCAACTACTGACGCACTGTTGCAAGGAGTAACAATGGGTTTTAATAACGTACTGAGATGGATTCTGGGGTGGTTGGCATCGAGAATTGGCCTAATGATAGCTTTACCAGATTTCAGCACCAATTCCATGTTGAGGAAAGCCTTCTTCAACAGTAACCAGTCTGTTAGTTTTCCTGACGGAGTTGTTGATCGTGGCTCTATCAAGGGGACGGATAGATCGCAGATTAATAACCTGTATGTATTTCAAGCACTAATTAATTTTCATAAGACTTGATATTAACAATGTGCTGAAAAGAGTTATAAAAGGCAGAATCAATTACCTCTGCGCTTATCCCTTCTTTAGAAAGAATTTCAGCAGCCTACATGATGCACAGGATGAATTAGAAATGATTCATGCCCAGTGGTCCATCCAGTAGCAAGTGTGATCGGGATAACGTAAAATTTGGAGTCTACCCTCTATCCTATTGTCATGCCGGAATCCATCCCAGTTATTGACATATACCTTGCCGCAGACAATTAATAGCATACCTTGAGAGCATAACCGACCATCTTTGAGAAAGCAGTAATAGTTACATCCTTGCCTTCCCTTTCAATCTGATCAAAACAAGTAAATTTATTATGGAATTAATACTCATCTAGATAAGAAGAAGGTACTAAGGCTACCAAAGAAGAGAAAGGAAGGAAAAGGGGATGCAACAAACAATCATTAAAGCATGCACCTTAGCTTTGCCTATGGGAAGACTGAAACTGGAATCAAGAACTTCAGCTGAGACTGGAAACGACTCACCGTACCTACACGACATATTCAAGACAAAGGACATTGAGCGACTTAACGGTCAAGTACAGCACTTACGTAAAAGGCCATGAATAATAGAATACTCACAAAAGCTCATTCTCTAGGAAGACAACTGGATCTGGATCTCTAATAGCAGCCTTCATTAGGCCACGGGCATCTTCTGATGAATATGGAGCAAGGACTTTCAGGCCAGGACAGGAAGCAAACCATGATGCATAACACTGCAGTACAACGACTGGAACATGTAAGGGGGCCAGGGGCTTGTTTGCCAAGCACACAGAAATTTCAAGAGCAAATCAAATGAACAATCACTCAAATTAGGAGGTTAACTGCGCTGCATAAGGCTATCTAAAACTCTATTTGCCGCTAATTTTCACAGCCGATTCCAAAGTTGTGTTCTTGGGCATTCACAAGAACATTCAAATTAGAAGGTTAACTGCGCTGCATAAGGCTATCTAAAACTCAATTTGCCACTAATTTTCACAGCCGATTCCAAAGTTGTATTCAAACACACTCAAAAGGTATTAACCTAAGCAGGGCATTGTCACTCATCCAAAGAGATTAAACTTGAATCATGAAATAGTTTCAGCGGCATTATCACCAATCCAATTGACCAAAATCATCATCATGATTTATTTTTTATATTAAGACAACAAGCAGAGGCGTTTTCTTAAGCAACAGAACCCAGTAAGTAGTAGTAGTATCTTGAAATGGGTTCATAATGTTTCATCCTCGTGAACTTCACCAGACTACATAACCATTATATATCTTAATGTCACTGAAAGGTCCAGTGTTCAAATTAGAAGTCGAAAGAAAGGAATCATAAAACCATCAAACATTAAGCATAGTAAATCACCTGTGAATGCTGAGCACCCACTCCAGCAGCAGCACCATTTGGGCCCCTGAAGACTATAGGGACAGAAATCTGCCCAGCAGACATGTAGTTTGATTTTGCAGCAGAATTGATGATATGATCTATAGCCTGTAAAAAATTGGGATGAGGCAAACTTCTCAAACAGCAACAAGATACCAAGAGCTAGTGACAAGAACCAACATTTACTAGAAAAATTTACGCAAACGGCAACAGTAGAGAGGGAAAACATAATATCCGTGTACCGACAAATTTAATCAGTCCCTTGAAGGGAGCCAAAGCAACTTGAGATTAAAAATAACAAATACCTACACATACATACCTTGTTTTCTCCACACAACAAAAAAAAAAAGCGCAAGTAAAAGAAAAAAAAATTTACCTGCATGGAGAAGTTGAATGTCATGAACTCTATAATGGGCTTAAGCCCATGATAAGCTGCGCCAACTCCAATACCAGTAAAACCAGCCTAGGTTTAAGGAGAAAGAGTGAGTGAAGAAATTTTGCCACTGAATATGACATACAATAAGCCTCCTTAACGCAAGAAAAATAAAAATAAAAAAATACCACAGCAGAATGCCAAGCTACAAAGTAAACACACAGCATTGTTATGCTTAGATAGTGGTGCAAGTAACAACCTCGGTGATTGGAGTATCAAGAACTCTGTCAGGACCATACTTCTCCAAGAGGCCTTTGGTGATCTGATAAATAATTCAATGTAAGCTGATAAGTAATGGTATATAATGAGAAAACTGTGATGCTCTGTTGAAGCATAAGACTACTGCAACTTAATCAAAGAAGAGAAGTTTATCTGACCTTGTATGCACCTTGATATTCTCCAACCTACACAAACATTACAATAAATCAAATAAGATACAACTGTATGATTGGCTTAAGACATTCAACAATCCAGAAGTCGAAGGTGTGTCAGATTTACCTCCTCCCCCATCAAAAAGACTTTGGGATCCGCAGACATTTCTTCATCAATGGCAGAATTGAGAGCATCCCTTACAGTCATCTGAAAAGTTCCAAATGGAGTAGAAAGACAAAAGACAAGTATGATACATCAAGTAACAGGTAAAACAAACACGAGAGCTCCTGCGGAGATTTTTAAACAGAAAGAAAGTGCATAGCAGCAACACTGTCACTTCAAATGTCAGCATTTCCAGATGATTCATGGGGTCCAGAGGAACAGAGGTCAAGACTCATCATTAGCCATTGTTCATCACGATTTCTAAGGAGGGTAAGATGTTTGACAAATAAAAAAAGCAGATATATCAACCGCAGCATCAAAATTAACCCTGTTGAGTCTCCATAACCATTCACAAAGCAGGCAGCAGATGGATACATATTCATATCGCTTTAAATTCTGAACAATCCATCGCAGGCAATGGCATATAGAAAGAAGTGCGTTCCTATGACAGATTACCATAGAGCATAGTGCCAACACATCAAAACCTGAATCCAGAGAAGAGAAGTTATTACCTCTTTAGCTGCGGAGGAGAAGCTCCTTGACGCGAGAATTGCAGGGCGAGTCCCCTGCAGTGACTGGTCCATTCAAACGCGATTAAACATGAGCAAAAAAAAAAAAAGACCTAACGAATCAGGGCGAAGATCAAGAAGGCGGTAGAATACAAGCGGCAAGCGTAGAAACAAATACCATAGCGGAGGAGCCATGGCGGAAAACTCTTTGTCCGACGATCCCCCACATTGTCGCCTGTTTTTCCTCTCTTCCTAGATCAGTCTGTTGATGGAAATCGAAAGAAGAAGAAATAAACCCAGCCGCGCTTAGACGACGGAAAGAAAGAGAAGAAGATTTAGATTCAACTGAGATTCGAGATCGTGGTAAGAGCGCTTACTTACAGTTGCAGAGAAACTTCCACGGGATGTGGAAAGAAAAAGGCGGAATCAGAGATTGGGGAGGGATTTGGAGGTGAGCTCTGAAAGAGAGAAGTGGAGGGAAGGCAGGAGATTTGTTCGTCTTTCTTTCTCTTTTGTTCTCTGTACTGTATGTATTAACTATTAAGTATTATGGCGTTTTTTTTTTTGTTTCTGAAAAGCTGCGAATAGGGACAGGAGGGAGTCGAGTGGAGGGACAGGGAAGGGATTTTATTTGATATAATATTATATTGTAGTTTTAGAATGGCGATTGGGCCAAACAAACATGAGAACAACGCTTTGGCCGCTGGGAGACTTGAGAGGGCGAGTCGTGAATTGTCTGCGCCATATAATTTTGTTTTCAATTTTGATTTTTGACCAATGATTTTTCCGTGGGTCCGGATAGGTGTTGTTATACTAACAACATGATTCATTAAGGGTATAAGGGTAAATATACTCATATATCTTATAAAATAAAAATTAAATAAAGATATCCCAATTTCTATCACTCTCGATCTTCTCCTCATACCCACGCGTTCTTGATTCCTCCTCCCCCACAGCGGAGGGCTTCTCCGGCTGCGGTGGACTGGATGCTTCGGCTGCGACGACGAGGAATCTGCAACCAATCTCAGTTGGCGGCCGATGCTCAAGCCTACATGATGGACCGGTTCGGGGATATAGACTTCGCCCTCGACAACCACTTCTCCTCCTTTATTAACTCCTCCTCACCACCACCACCACAACGGCGGCGCCGGCCAGGTCTCCACCCAGCTGCCTACCGCCGACACCGGCCGATATCATCAAGTCACATCACTCTCGTCAAGCACCACCACGGCGGCCCCACACCACCATCCGAGCTCCGATGGCCGCCGGATCGCTGTTGAATCTCTTGCAAGACAGGACAACGAAGCTCGCGAACCCTAATAACCAGCTGCAAAACAATCAAAGTGAGATCAGCTCCAAGCCTAGCAGCATCGAGGATCAGTTTGGTTTCTTGTGGGATGTTGACATGAACTTGGAGGAGACTTGCAGCTTGGGAGATGGTGGTGGTGTGGTTTCCGATTTGGACCATGACTTGAGGTTTGAGAATGATAACAACATGATTTTCCTATGAGCATTGTGATTTGATTGGCTGGAAGGAAACCCATTGATATAATTGTCGGTGAATGAGGATGATAATAATGCATGCAATAGATCGGCGCCTGCAACTACGGCGACCGCTGGCGCAACCTCCGCCGCCTCACCACCACTGAGCACTCGTTAGTTTGGATCTTTACAGTAACCGCTTTACTGGCCAAATCCCATCTACTCTGGCCAATTTGCACTCTTTGAGATACTTGTTAAGTTTCATTCGTCCCCTTTGCCTTGCCTCCCAAATTCTAACTGATTTACTACATGTGGATTATAAAAGAGCAAAAACTTTTGTTGGTTGCATGAGATTGAACAAGCTACAGGGCAAGCTACCGGTTGGTCTTTGTATTGCCCGATTTGCATAATCTTTTCGAGTGATCTAAGATTATTCTATTACCCATTTGATGATTAGTGACGATTCAGGAAGCTAAATTATTTCCAGAAATTCACTAAAACATATCAGAAACCCCACAAAGCAAACCATCAATATTTTGCAAAGCACACCAGAAACCTCCTAATGCAAAGCACAAACACGGTAATGCAAACCAAAAACGTCATAATGCATACCACAAATATATTAAAACAAACCAGAAACCTCGCAAAGCAAACCACAAAAGTTTCGAAAGTACACCAAAAACTTCTTAATGCAAACCAGAAACCTCCGAATGCATACCACAAATCTCATAAAACAAACCAGAAACCTCACAATGCAAACCACAACATTTGCGAACGCACACCAGAAACCTCATAATGCAAACCACAAATACAGTAAACCAAACCACAAAAACAAACCAGAAACCTCCTAATGCATACCATGAATCTCCTAAAACAAACCAGAAACCCCTCAATGCAAACCACAAAGTTTTTGAAAGCAAACCAGAAACTTCTCAATGCAAACCACAAACACGATAAAGCAAACCACAAACTTCTTAATACAAACCACAAACACGATAAAGCAAACCACAAAAGACATACAAAAATATGAGAAACCAAACCATAAATCTCACAATGCAGACCATAACATCCGGTGGTCGTTCGTCGTTGACCGGTCAACGAAGACCGTTGACCGGTCAACGAAACCCGTTGACCAAACTCCGATGACCGTCAGTGAGTAGATTCCGGCACCGATAAGCATATTCTGGCCCCGATGACTAGATTCCGACGCCGATAAGCATATTCCGACCACGGTGAGCATATTCCGACGACGGTGGCATATTCCGATGACAAAAAAGCATATTCCGATGACAAAAAAGCATATTCCGGCGACAAAAAGCATATTCCGGTGACCGGCGGACAGATTCCGGCGACCGGTGGCCGAATTCCGGCGACCAACATTTTGGCCCGAAAATAAAAAAAATATTTTTTTATTATTTTTTTTATTATTATTTAAACATATTTTTCATAATGACAATTATACCCCTGCTTTGATTTTACACTAGGTCAACTCATCTAATAAAAAGTCATCATAATCCTAGCTTCCTATTGGTTGGAGGCTAGTGTTGTTACAATAACAACACAAAGGGTGTTGTTATAGTATCTAGTCCCTTTTTCCGTCGTCCTCTATTTTATAGTGTTCAACCCACTCTATGGAATATTAGCACCGTACTAACACTATACTATACTTTTGAATAAGACGGTATTAGAATACTCTATTTGGGAAGAGGGGTAAATGGAAGAGGATGCAAATGTGAGGGGTAAACACAGTTTTCAACACATTTGCACTTGTTTGGATAATTTGGAACAGTAGGGGTGCAAACTGCGGGTGCAAAATTACTATTTCGGCTTACCCCAAATTGGGATGCAAGGGAAGGAAGGAAAAGAGGGGGGAGTAGGGAAATTATGATTTTTTTATTTTTTATTTATATAATAATTAATATTATCAATTTATGAAAATTATAATAATTATAGTTATCATTAATATAGACATTGTTCGGAGTTGACCGTTTAACTCCGAGAGCAAGGTACCAAAGGTAAGATAGCCTAACGGTAAAGCTGCCGCAACAGTGAAGGCTTGGGAGTTGCAGATCCCAGGTTCGAATCCAAGCGAGGCCCGTTGGTGTTCCCGGAGGTACAAGGCTGCTGGGGGCGAAGCCCCGTTGGCGTCAAATTAAATGCAGGTGGCCCCCAGGTTTAGTAGGACCCGCTGTCACAAAGTGGCACGTGGGGCTGAGGTTCCTGGGTATTAAAAAAAAAAAAAAAAACTCCGAGAGCAAGTTATTAATGTTAGTCTAGTCAAATAAAGATCTCTTTGTTAACTCGAATTTGCATTGAAAATTATAGATAAGAAGTGTTTGTAGAACTTGTTTGACTAAGTTTGACCATATTCAATTTAAAGATATATTAGACACGAGAACTTTGTAGCATGACCAGTTACGAGTTGGGCTTCGAGTTCGCTCGACCAATAATTATTACGGTTGTTATAATTAATAATTATTTGAGCATTATTATATAATAATTATTTATATTAAAGTATATTAATTATTATATAATTATTTTTTTATTATTTTGTGATAATATTTTATATATTTGATAAATCTATTTTATAATAATATAATATTTATTTCTAACTCTATTTGCACCCCCCTACTTTTTCATCTAAACAACAATTTACCCCTCCACTTACACCCCCCACCAATTTGCACCCTCCTGCAATTTGCCCCTCAACTTGCACCTCCCCTCGGATTTGCACCCCTCTTGTTGCCAAACATAGTGTTAGAGAGTTGAGCCGCACTATGCAGCAGCAACTTTGGATGGCCTTTGACTTTGTGCTTGCAAACCCATATGCATTCTCTTGCACTTGTGTATAGCTCAGCCCGTTGGCCACATCATTATATCCATTGTTGTTAGTTTTCTCGTTAGCTAGAATTCTGATCAAATAGAATTCGAAATTAGGAAATATCGAGTGCTCGCATAACAATAATAGATTGAATGTTCTTTGATATAATTGTTTGTCACACTAAAATTGTCTGTAAGAAGTATGGTTGGTAATTCGGTCATGATTTTTCAGTTAAATCATAAATGGGACTGTTTAAACCAGTCTGGTTGCACCCGAAAAACCGGATTGTGTTTATCCAATCCAATTGCCAGCCTGATCCAGTCCACTTAAAATCGGGAGAGCTAGATAATTTGGATAAACAATACGTTATTAATAAAAGTATTCCACAATGTAACCCAACTACTACCTGCTAAAATTCAACCCTACTATAATTTGTTAAAATTCAAGTGAATACTACTCGAGTCCCAACCATAAAAAAGAAGAGCAACAAAAGTATAGGTACAATCCTCCAATGAGGAAGGAGCCACCAGGGCAGACTTGTCATTGCCTGACTAAATGGTGTTGTTGCTTTTACTTACTGCGAATCTGGAAGGAAGAAGGGGAAGTGTTCAAGTCTTGGTTTGGGTTTCTTTCAGGAGTTGATAATGGGGGAAAAATTGGTGATGTCTCAAAGAAAGCTTGAGAAGATATTTGCACAGTGGCTAGTGTTCATAGCAGCTATAAATGATGGAGAGTGGTGGAGTTCTGACTCGCCATGGATACATCGCGAAAGAAATCCCGATTAGAGCCCAAGTATAAACTCTAGTCGGGTGCAGTATAGGGCAAGTATGTTTTAATTGTCAAACCTAGGTGATGTCTCAAAGAAAGCTTGAGAAGATATTTGCACAGTGGCTAGTGTTCATAGCAGCTATAAATGATGGAGAGTGGTGGAGTTCTGACTCGCCATGGATACATCGCGAAAGAAATCCCGATTAGAGCCCAAGTATAAACTCTAGTCGGGTGCAGTATAGGGCAAGTATGTTTTAATTGTCAAACCTAGATTGGTCCATGTACCCCTACTTCAATCGCTTAAATTATTATCTAACAAACGATTTTGGGTTTAAAACTACGAAAACTACAAAATAAACAAACAAGTAAAGTAAATCGAGGTTGTCCCAATGAGATAAGAATTCACCCAGGTATTGCTCCCCCAAGCTACATATCAAGATTGACCAAATCGAATGCAAATGTGTGGAGGTGTGTTCATAAACCATAGGAGGGCGCAACAAGTGAAGGAAACATCACTCTCTTAATCAATCGGTTAAGGAAAACAATTAAGCTAG